GAACAGATCAATGAAACCAGGAGCTGGTTCTTGGGGAAAAAATCAATAAAACTGATAAACCTCTAGCCAGACTTAGCAAAAAGAAAAGAGAAAGGACTCAGATAAATAAAATCACAAATGAGAGAGGAGAAATAACAACCAACACCAGAGAAATACAAATGATTATAAGAGAATATTATGAAAAACTATACACCAGCAAACTGGACAACCTAGAAGAAATAGGTAAATTCTTAGAAATATTAAATTACCAAAACTGAAACAGCAAGAAATAGAAAATTTGAACAGATTGACAACCTGCAAAGAAATTGAATCAGTAATCAAAAAACTTCCAACAAACAAAAGTGCAGGACCAGATGGCTTCACAGGTGAAAAAAAAAAAAAAATTACGCCCCTGGTTGTTTTTGTGTGATTCTAGCCAAGAATAAAAAGCCACGCTTATAAGACTATCAAATCATTGCTATTCTCTTATTAAGCACACTGACAATTTATTAATTCTTAAAGAGGTAATTAAGATAAATATTAAAGGAAATGCAAAGACCCAAATTAGTTAAGAAAATCAAATCTCTTTCATTAGAATTTCTGCTGGATTATAAATTCTCCACTTAATAGTAATTCAGTATTGATATGAAAGAGATAGTTGGGAAAATTTCATAAATTACATGCTAGTTTTTACAAATGAAGCCTGAAACCTAAATTCTACTTACTATTTGACATATGACAGCCTTTGGAGTCTTCCTGATTGAGCCTACCAGAAACATTATTCTCTGGCATTCAACTCCAGTATATATACTGAAGAATTCTATTTTGAAAATTACCCTTTCACACCACTCTCCCACCTCCTTAAACCCTGACAGTATCTTTCTAAATTTAGATAAATTATCCAAACTTATTATAGGCTACATATTTTTATCAAGCTATATGTAGATAGTAAAAAAAAAATGCGTATTAGCAAAAGCATTTGTTTGACTATAAAAACGTAACTATGTGAATGCAAAGAGTATTCTTTTGTGTAGTTATGGAACTGCATTCTAAAAACAAACTGACATCTCAGTTTATTTTACTTACACAATAAGTTTAATTTACATAGAAATGACAGAGCATTTCAGGAGCAAGTCTTAAAAACAATTTCTGCTGAATGACTGCTATAATAATCTCCTTAAGAGAGAAATAAACATAAACTAAAACGGCATTTGTGAAACATACATAGTAGCTTTCTAGTGAAGACAAAACTCGATATTTAGTAGGAACACACTAAAAAAAACCAGAAGGGGTTTGGTTTAGATTGTTGGCTAAAGTCAGAATCTGTTTCCTTAAAACTTCAATCTTAAGCGTATCAGAAGCTATTTATTAAGGCAGACTCCTAGGCAACAAACTCCAATTTGCACTTTCTTCTGAATTCCACCCTATCCATCAATGAGGAGGAAGGAGGTTTTTCAGTGCTTCTATGTACAGGACGTGGTGAGATGCTTTCTACAGATTCTCACTTACTGCAACTAGCAACCCCACTGGTAACATGAAGTAATAAATTATTTCCAGAATTTAAATGCAAAGGTTTATTTGTTTTCTAGGAACTTTGGACAGTCATACAAGAACTTCTATTTTTTGAATTATAGCAAATTAAGTCTAGAGTTTGACTATGAAGAGTAAAAATTTTCCAGCAGAACATGCCACAAATACAGACTACTTTTAATCAAATAATTTTAATCAGCAAAGCTATAATCATCTGAAACTCTTAGAAATTAAATGGGAATGAGAGTAAAATAATTGAAAATTGTTTAGTTCTACAAATGGGAAAATTATCATTAGCATATCATTTTCCTTTCTTCCAATAAGAAAGCATATCTTTATGTTCAAATTCCTAAAATTAAGGAATTTCCTGAAATGCATAGGTCTAGAATTTATAGTTTATATATTTGTATCACACTCATTTGCTATTCAACAAATATCATGAGAACACAGAAAATTTCCCCAAACTGTTGAAAGACAAGCATAAAAAAATACTGTAATACAGAGTAAAGTATCTTAAGAGAAAGAAAGCAAACTCACGCCATTAGTTTACTAACATTTTTTAATTCTATTTTATTATTTTTAACTTAATTTTTAATATTGCTAAATGGAATATTCACATTTAAGGTCACATTAAATCTTTCTTGAAAGAAGGCAAGATAGGCAGAAAAAGAGAATGAGAAGAAAGGAAATTGAGAAAAGAGAAAGACAAAGAATGGTAGAGGAGATGAGAGAGGGCTTCCTAGGAGACATCAGATCCAAAACCTGAAGGCAGGAAGAGGTATGAATGAAGTATAGTAAGGTGGTTAAATCTAACTGGAAGGCATAGCTCAGAAATAGAAATGAAGGAATATGGACAAAAAGATAGGTCCACCTATGTATTACTAAATCCCACCATAATGAACATCAAACAAATGTACTATAATGAAAATTGTGTTATTATTCGTATGTAACTAGAACTCATACATCTCAATCCTAAAATGTAGGAAATGAAATTCAATTAATAATCAACCTTCAACAGTGAGATTAGTAATGAAAACAAGTTATTTCAAATAAGACATGAGAAGCAAGATGGTAGGGAACAAAATGCTAACAACCAGACTTCCCTTCTCTAATCCTTGGATCTTTTGTTGTGACAGTTTTATGCTAGAAAGTTATATTTACTTTTGATAAATATATTGGGAAGCAAAAGGGATTGATACTTGAAGCTCAGGGATCCACTGATCTAAATTTAAAATACACTGCATTACAGAATAAATCCTGTGATTTGGGGTGATCATTTGGGGCCAATTTGATCATGAACACAAATGTGAATGCAGGCACAGGAAGTGGGAAATCTAGATAATGCAGAATATTTTATCTCTATCTGTATATAATCATTAAAGTGAAACTTCAAAATACTTTATCATGGAGTAAGATCCACCAAAAATTAAACCTGTGACGATCCATACGTCCAAAGAACATACGGTAGGAGATCTAGGAGAAAGGAATCACTTGTGCATGGATAATCTAATAAGACACAGTTGCTAAATTTTTTTTTTAAACTATCTTTTCTTCTTTTTTTAAAGATTTTATTTATTCATTTGAGACACAGAGATACAGAGAGAGAGAGAAAGAATGAGTAGGGAGAGAGGCAGAGGCAGAGGGAGAAGCAGGCTCCTCGCTGAGCCAGGAGCCCGACGTGGGGCTCGATCCCAGGACCCTGGGATCATGACCTGAGCTGAAGGCAGACGCTTAACCATCTGAGCCACCCAGGCGCCCATAGTTGCTAAATTTTGACAGAGATGATGCTAGGGGATACAGGTTAAGGGTGGAAAAGATGCAGATGCCAAAAAGGACAAAGTTTGTTTACAGAACAGCACCTGTCCAAGTGAACAAATATGTGTGGCTCAGGGATAAGAGTAAACTGTAAGCCCCATTTAAAAACAAAACAAAACATCCCCAGTTCTTCTGTAAGGTCATATAGTATGGATATTCTAGAATCAACATAATACTAGCCTGCAGCATAGAATTAATTCATGTGGAAATGGGCAAACATCTCATGTGCAGCAGAAATTATTCAGGGCACTAATTATACTTAAGTTATAAATGCTAGAGAACAATGTCAAGAACTTTGAAGGGCCTAAGATTTTATCCTGTTTGCAAGCTAACAAGTTAGCCTGCTACTATTTCATGGATACTGTCAAAAAACACTAGACTCATGTGTCAGAGACAAAAGACTTTATTACTTGAGTTATAGGGCAAGCAGCATGAACTTATTTTCATCTCTTTCTTTGGTCCTTCAAAGCCCAAAGAGGCAATGTGGACAGGCCAAGGATAGAGGCTAAGCACACAGTGGGACTGTATTATAGCTGAGGAACCTCAAAATTTATGAAGCCCAATCTTATAAGGGGGTTGCTAACAAACCTGCCCATTCTTTGCCCCCAGTGGGGGACGGGAAAGCATTTCCTTGGACAGCTAACAAATCTGCTCTCTGCCTTGGAGGAAGACACAATTTCTGTCTTCCAAGCAGTTTCCTTATACAACACCCTCAAAAAGGTAGTCCACAACAAAAGCTGTCAGCGCCTTTGCTCAGACACATGCGGAAATGCAATCCATGGAGAACTTTCTCCTAGCAAACATACACCAAGTTTCATGTATTCTTTATGCTACTGTTCAACCAAGTAATTCATTCTAACTAGTTTTTTAAAGAATCAAAACAGGAATATAGAAACTTCAGCTTTTCCTTAGAGAACGAAAGTAGTATGCAGTTATCACACTGAACAAATGTGTCCATATGCATTTTATTAAAATTACTTAATATGACATAGAATGAATAAAACTTTTGGCTTTAACAGAACATTCACCTGAATGACAAATGACATTTTCAAGGGTTCCTCCCACTGGTACCACGTGAGGAAACTAAATGGTCACAAGGCCTAATCCTCCATCAAGTCAAAGGTAGTAGGTTAGACCCAATTTATTAGCCAAGTAAATATCAATCTTCACACAGATAAGCACTTTTTTTTTAACCTTTATTGAGGAATAACTGACTGTGATGATTTGATATATACATACATTATAGAATGATAAACAAGATTAATACAATTAACACATCCATCACCTCACATAATTAACATAGGTAACTTATTTATTTATTTTTTTTAAAGATAAGCACTTAAAAGAACACTTATCCCGCCTGGCAGGGTGGAGGATTCAACCTCTTTAAAAACATTTAAAGGATAAAACTTGGCATGAATTTGTTTTCTGATGTAATAACTCACTACAAAATATTAGGGTCACGGGAAGGATATGTTTACATAAAAACATAAACTTTGAAACTGAGAATATGTTTCAAACATAACCATTGAAATAAACAAAAAAATGCAAAACGTTTTTAAAATCACTTTTTTTTAAAAGAAAGACTTCAAGAAATGCTTTAGCTTCAAAACCTTTATTCTGACTATTCAAAATTGGAAAAAAAAAAAAGTTTAAAGTTGAATATATGACCATACCTCTCCTAGAGCTTCGTATCTTTTCTGGTTCCACCTGTGCAAGTCTTCCCGGTAGTTAAAAACAAATGGTTCCCCAGTTTTTATGTGTCTTAACTGCCCCTCTAGAAGATAAACAAATAGTATTGCTATGATTCAGAGTATATTTATAATAATATGAAAAATATAACAAATAATGTCTGATAAAAATTTAAAATAACTTTCTCAGAAGTTTCATTTTTTCTTTACATTTTTCCTTCAAATATTAACATGATGCAAACATCTAACTACTATAAAAGAATGGTCCCAACTACTCAAATGCTGTGGCTTTTGACCTTCATTTCTCTAAAGCAAATTAACATTTGAGGGCCTATCATGTATAAGGATCTTGGCTAGCTACAGCCATGAACATGGCCTCAGTTCCTAAGCTTAGAGGTTACCGGAGGAGTAAAAGCATAAATATCAAAAAGTTAAGCAGCTTTTCAGGAAGTTAAGCAAGAATGAATGAAGTAAGTCAACAATCCAAAAACTGCCACAGGCAACTCATGTAGACGATAAAGTCTAAAATGAGTTTGGAAAAATGGAAGATCCCTATAGGTTACAATAGGTTCAGAGGTCCCAGTGAGATTTCTCAACTAGGCCTTGAGGTATGGTTAAGATTTCAAATGAACATTGGAGAAAAGCAGTGAGCCAACACTGGTTTGGACTGTCAAGGCAGACACACTCACTTCAGAAATTTTACCGGTAATAACTTTGCTAATAATATCAAGGGAATAAGCAATCCAGAGGCACAGGCAAGGAAAAGCTGGAGAGGCATTTCTTCCCGGGTCCTTGCCTCTCACTGCCAGCACCCTCTGGTCCAGAGTAGGTGAGGTCTCTAAGTGAGGCAAAAAGGTTACCTCATACATTGGTAAGCATTTGGTTACAAAATACTTCAATTTTATGTGCCAGAGAGTGGTACTGCTTCTATGATATTCTTCAGAGAAATTTACTTCAAATATCCACAGATTATACGTTAGTTTACCATAAGCAAACCAGTCATCCTGCTCAAAGTCTTCCATAGATAGAGACTCTGCTCATAGCATACAATAGTCTGTATTCACAAAAAGATTACAATATCAGCATGTTTATAAGGAGAAAAGACCAGGCCACCTGTGTTCTTTCTGTCCCAGAAGCGTGCTGTTGGTAATCAGGAGAGAAACAGACCACAGGCCAATTACTTTAACCTACTCTCCCTTGCCTCTACCCAGCAATTTAAACAAAACTGTGAAAAATGGACAGAACATCCAAATAACAGTGAATTATCCATTTTAACAGAAACAAAAAGAAGTACTGAGCCAAACTGCAGAACACTGGAGAACATGTTGGGATCAAAAAGCAGAAGGCTCAAACTACTGGACCTGGACTTTATGCTAAGAGCAGTGAAGCACAAGAAAGGGTTTAGAGCCCAAAAAGGGACATGACATGCAAAATGGAACTTAGTATTTGATTTTTATTCAATGAGGGCATGCAGGAGTGGACAAAATGTTGAAAGGAAAATTATGGCACTAAAACTGAACCCTGGAAATATACTACTCCAAGTAAAACTACTTCACTATTTTTTTTTTTTAAAGATTTTATTTATTTATTTGAGAGAGAGAGAATGAGAGAGAGCACATGAGATGAGGGAGGGTCAGAGGGAGAAGCAGACTCCCTGCCGAGCAGGGAGCCCGGATGCGGGACTCGAGATCCTGAGACTGCAGGATCATGACCTGAGCCGAAGGCAGTCGCTTAACCAACTGAGCCACCCAGGCGCCCTACTTCACTATTTTTATGAATCAATTTCACCACACACAAAACTGCCTTTTTAAATATGCAAAATAAGGGCTAATCCTTATTTGTAAAGTTTTTAATACTCTCAACATGAGACACCGTGTTAGATCACTAGAACACTCTTTTTTGGATTCTGTAGGAAAATGGGACTGTCAAAATAGCCACCTATTAGCACTAGTGTTAAAAGTGAAAAGAAGGTTAAGAGTCAAAGAAAGTGAGCAAGTTCTTATCCAGAAAAAACATCTGGATCACTTATGTTATATTTTTGTTTGCAAGTATGGCATTTCTCAAAGGTTTGGACAATCTCTCCAGTGACGGTCAAAGGTCTGATTTAGGATACTTTAGCTTAGGGTCCCCTAAAATCTGCTGTAAAGTTTCACATGTATACCTAAAATGTGTGCTATTCTGGGAACTGTATCCATATATTTTATCAGATTTGTTATGGAGTCTAGGACCTCAAAGAGGCTATCACTTGCCTAAATGAATTAATAAATTGAAAGTATTTAGGATACTTCCTGGCATGTATTTTGTTTTGTTTTGTTTTGTTTTTTTAAATATTCAGCTGAAATGTCAGCTCTTTTATTTTTTTTTTTAAAGATTTTATTTATTTATTTGAGAGAGAGAGTGAGAGAGAGAAAGAGCACAAGAGGGGGGAGCGGGAGAGGGAGAAGCAGACTCCCTGCCGAGCAGGGAGCCCAATGCGGGACTTGATTCTGGGTCTCCAGGATCATGACCTGAGCCGAAGGCAGTCGCTTAACCAACTGAGCCACCCAGGCGCCCACTTCCTGGCATGTATTAAGAGTTCAATAAATATCAGGTATTATGGAAGACGATATTCAAACTCAAATGGTCTGCCTCAAGTCCAATTATTTTTTTTAGTGATATAAAAGTGTACTGCACCAGAGCAGAGGGAGTATAGGTGAGGGTAAAAGGGGAAAAGTCTTCAACTTCTTCATCAGCAAGGATATCTAAGCTGGGCCTTATACAATTACAACAACGGGAAACACAGGTGTATTTGAAAAGGCACAGTGATTTGAAAGAATAAGGTATCAATTTGATGTAGGTAAAAAAAAACTCTTCCCCTTTGTTACAAATTGTTTGGCTTAGAATAAAATTTGTATCCAAATTCATCTTTTATCCAACTAACTGCTTTAAAATCCTTTAGAAAAATTAGAAACTTCTTCAATCAGGTAATGAAAGTTCAATTTCAAAGCTTTCATAAAAGTTTTTGTCATCATAAAGTTAAAAAAGAAGTCCCCAAAGATACTAAGTTAGAATTGCCCTTTTAGAGGTTTCATATTAAGACCCAGTTTCTTGTTTCCAAATACTCACCTCTTTGAAAAAATATTCACCATTAACCCAAATTCAAAGGTGAACTGTATCAAACTAAAAAAGATCCTTAAAAGTGACATTCTCTCCTTAGAATTCAAGTATTTCTGCCTCATACTCTTAGTCTATGTTAATGCAAGACAATGTCCAAGATACTTATAAAATGAATGGTAGGTGTGTTGAAGGATGCACACACATTTGAGGTATATGTACATGAAAGGACACATGTGTATGCAAAGGTATAGGTATGTACGTAAGTGTGAATGCAAGGTAAATACATGCAAGGGTGTACAAGTGTGTGAAAAGATGTGTGTATGTATCTGGTAAGAAAGGGGAAGATAAAAGTTTATTGCTTCTGGAGCACCTGGCTAGCTCAGTTGGTAGAGCATGCAACTCTTGATCTCAGGGTCATGAATTCAAGCCCCATATTGGGTGTGGAGCCTACTTAAAAAAAAAAAGTGTATTCTTTCTTTGTTTTTTTACTCTAAAAAATATTCACAGAAGATGAAACATAGACTTTAGTGAAAACTGATGTCCTATATCCATAAAGCAAACATAGTTCTATGATTTACCCACAATACCAACATCCCATCCAATTCCTGTTCTGAAGGAATCTAGGAATCATTTTAAAGGAATAAAGACAATTTTAGTCTAAATGCTCATTTGGTTCTGTTAATTAAAATATAAAGAAATTTGAAAAAACAAAATATTACTACTTATACATATCTTGGCATTAAGATATCCTTTATTAAAAAGCATGAAAACTAACAACAGAAAAGAGATCAAAGTTTCTAATATCATCTGTTTAAAACCAATTAATCTTCTAGTACACAGAGACTGTCACTATAAATCCTGATACCTATAAGAAGGGATATCCACTACCACAATGATAACAAATCACCAATTTAGTTGATGTGGAGCAACAAACAGAAAGCTACAACTTAAACGCTACCAAGCCTGTAACAATAGTACTCTTCAAGTGTTAACAGTATGTTATTAATTCAGGGAATCATAATTATTTGTTTCAGAAACATCCTTGTAACTTACGGTATGTTCTTCCAAACCTCAAGTGCATTTATTATTCAGACTTTAATTAATAAATTTAAAATAAACAGGGTGCCTGGGTGGCTCAGTCAGTTAAGCGTCTGCCTTTGGCTTAGATCATGATCTGGGGATCCTGGGATCAATCGAGCTCTGTGTCGGGCTCTCTGCTCAGCGGGGAGTCGGCTTCTCTCTGTCTGTCTCTCATTCTTGCTCTCGCTCTCTCTCAAATAAATAAATAAATAATCAATCTTTAAAAAAATAAATTTTAAAATAAGGATGGATTTTAAAAAAATCATGGAAAACTGAGTGTTATGCTTTAAAATATTATCACAGATGATAATTGCTAGCCATTTAACTTTAAATATGTGAAAAAGTAGCATCTTTCTATATAACTTAATTGGAGTTCTAATTGGATGCCAGAGAGTTGAAAGCTCAGGGTTGAAATACATTCAGTCAAATCAAATTCATGTCTTTTGGTTTAAGTGACTTGACAATTATGGGAAATTACAATTTGGTTCTTTTGCTTGAGTGAAGAATTTCACCGCAAAGGGAGAAGTCATTATTTCTTAAATGAAATACATAAAATATTCTAACTTGCAAATAAAAATAGCGAATAATATCTGTCCTATGATTCTATTAGCATAACTAAATCTTGTATGTAGCATACAACCACTTACTTTCATTAAAAGCATATTCAAATCCTTCCAGGGTATCAGGAAAATCAAGAGGTGGTTCATCTTTTTTCATTAGCTCATCCAAATCAATCCTAGATAATAAATCTAGAAAAGAATATGAAATGCGCTTACATTCATTTTCTGAACAAAGTTATATTTTAATAACAAAGTTAATAACAAAGATTATATTTCTGATTATTTTAAGTATTCTTTTGTTCTACCAGATTACTTTTTATGTGTTGCCTTATTGATAATTTTTTAAATTTTAAGTTCCCCAAGTGCTATATCATGACTATATCAAAAGTACTTTCAAAATCATAATTTCCAAAACAATCACAATTTTAGATCTCATGTACCACTACAGTAAATTATTAACTTCTTCCTCTCAAAATATTCAGCTATTAATTTTTATCTTACTAACGTCCATCTATAGTTTAAAGTTTCGGGTCTTTTAAATGGTCACTAAATCTTACATAAAGATGAAACTACTATTTATGAATAAGGAAACTTACAAATTTAAATAGGGGTAATATAGCACATTATTCCATTTTTACAGGAAAAAGCACAATATTAAAATACAACATGCTAACTGGAGAAAATGTGGTTAACACAAAGCAGTTTTTATTCTTCACACCATTTGATTTCCATACAATAAAAAAAATTGTCAACAAAGTTTTTTAAATAAACATTTTATTTTGAAATCATTTTGGATTTACAGAAAAGTTGGAAGAAAGTACAGACAGTGTCTGTATGTCCTTTACCCAGTTTCCCCTATTGTTAACATCCTACATTACCAGGGTACATTTGTGAAAGTGAAGAAACCAACATCTGTATGTTCCTATTAACTAAGCCCAGAAATTATTCATCAGTTTTCCCATTAATGTCCATTTTCTATTCCAGGATTCCATCCAGGATACCACACTGCATGCAGCTGTCATGTATGCCAATCTCCTCTGGTCTGTGACAGATTCCAGTCTTTGCCTCTTTTCCATGATCTTGACTCTTTTGAGGAATACTGCTTAGGTATTTTATAGAATGACCCTCAGTTTAGGTGTGTTTGATTTTTTTTTTTTTTAATTTTGTGATTAGACTAGGGTTACAGGTTTTTAGAAAGATTACCACAGAGGTAAACTGCCCCTTTTATCACATCATATCAAGGGGAACGTGATATCCAAGGGACATCACTGGGGATGTTAATCTCCATCAGTTGGCTACGACAGTGTCTGCCAGACTTCTCAGCTATGAAGTTACTATTTTTCCCTTTCCATAATCTATTCATTCCTTGGAAGTGAGTAAGTCTAGCCCACATTCAAAGAGGAAGAGGTGGAATTACACTCTACCTTGTGGAGTAGAGAATATCTACATATATTATTTGTAATTCTTCTGTATGAAATTTTTGTCTCTCTTCCTCCATTTATACAGTTATTCAATCTTATTTATATCAGTATTGAATGATGGATATTTATTATATACTTTGGGTTACAATAAATACTACATCATTTATTTTGTTGGTCAAATTGTTCCAGCAATGGCCACAGTTGTAAGCTCCTCCAGCTGGCTCCTATAACTGTTTGACATGCTCTTATCTTTTTGCTTTTTAAATATTCCTTTATTTTGTGTTACCACAAGATGCTTGCTCTAGGCTTATCTTTTCCCTGCCCCAGCCTAGAATCAGTCTGTCAACAAGTATTTAATGATATCTTTTAGGCTCTTATTATAGGATGAGGCAAAAATTCTTACTATATGTCGTAAGAGAGTTATACCAAAACTCAGAAAAACAAAAAGATAAACTTCAAATTTATTGTTCCAAAGAAAAGATTTTTTTTAAAAAGTTTAGGTTTCGAGATTTTGCATTCTAACTCAAGTTCCTGAAGAGAAACCAGCTTCTAGGATATGTAATAAAGCAAACTAGTCCCTTTTCCTACAAAAGAATTATCTCAGAAGAAACACTTTATTTCTATCTCTTACAGAGATATAACAAATCCATCCGTATGGAACATCAAAATATGCCAAAGAAAAAAGTAGTTTGTCTACCTCCAGTCTCTTTTTGTAGGACATAAAGATAAGCCATCAAAAAAATCATTTTTTAGTACTCTTCAAACTGCTATATCAAATAAACCTCGACTCACATAAAAATATAACATCTTCAAAATTCAAAAATAAAAAATGTTTACAAATTCTCTAGTAAAATGGAAATGTCACATAATATACATACCGGGCTAAAAAAGGGATATAGGCTGACAAATTTCTGATTCATTAGTGAATTTCTGAACACCATGTAATTCTTTGCAAAACAGAGTAAAATAGAAGATTTTTTAATAGCAAAAATGGCTTCGAGTGGTTAGAAAATTCTTCTTTCTTTCCAATGAGTTGAGGCTCCTTCACTATAGTCATCTACAGTTCAAAACTTAGAAACCTTTTAATCAGACACACAGCAACCATCTAATATATAAACAGATATATTATGTCTTACAGCCATTTTGTCTATCAGCTCAGATCATAAAATGCCACCTAACATCTACATACCAATTTAAAGTTTTCACATACTTTATCTCACTTGATCATGACAACCCTATAATATAGTAGCATGTATTATCACCTTCACTGTCTTTCAGATGAGAAAATGAGCTCAGAGAGGAAAAATGGCTTGTCCAAAATTATACCTTAACAGTACAGTGGGGTTAATGGAATAGATGTAGTTTCCAATATCTAACTCAATGCTCTTTCAAAATCACCATACTTACTCTATGTGCCATATCAACCCTAAAATATTCTGCCCCCTCTCTTCCTTACCTTATAAAGTTATAAATATAGAAATATGCTTTTGCTCTGCTTGATATGTTCCTATGAATGACAAAATGAAAACTAAATAAATAGGCATTCTTCAAACTTCTCCTCTATTAACAAGGGAACCAGATATAGGTATTTTTTTATTTCATTAGCATTGAGAAGACATGTAGAATGAAAATGTCAGAAATTATTTTTCCTGCTTTTTAAAAAGAAAGCAGTACTATAAGCTGCATTTTACATAGACACTGGGTTCCAAAGGCAGTGGATTAGGCAAAAATCAAGTATAATAAAACATTTCCATTAAAAATACCTTCATTCACCTATAAAGTACAGTATGACTGAATCCATATAACTTAAATATGCATCAGATGTAACACAAGTGTTTTTTCGAAAACATGCCTCTGGTGATTAAAGTGATTCAGCAAATAGAATTCTAAACTTCAACTAAGCCTATGCAATAAATGGATAAAAATACCACTTGATACCCAGAATAAATGAAAACAGAGACTTAAACAGATATCTGTACACTCATGTTCATGGCAGCATTATTCACAATAGCCAAGAAACAACCGAAGTGTCCAAAGACAGAGGAATGGGATGGTTAATTTTATGTGTCAACTTGACGGAGCCATGCCATACCCAGATATTTGGTTAAACCTTCCTCTGAGTGTGTCTGTGAAGGTGTTTCTGGATGAGATATGACATTTGAATCTGGATGAGTATGTACATGACACTTTCAAACACTTTCGGAAAACTAACAACATAATGAAATTGGCTGGTTGCTCCTAAGGTCACTGGACAAGGAAGTGGAAAAAATGGACAAATTCAGGAATTCAAATACCGAGCTCAAGCACAGCATAAATAACCTCTAATTTTCTAAGTGTGCCCTGAAGGTAACCCTTATCTCTTGTAGCTGAAGGGCTGAGATTGTTAAAAATCAAACAGAGTCTCATCCTGCAACTAGCTGAATTATAATGCAAGCAGAACTACCAGCCTCACAAGTGTCCATTGTAAAAGTGAGGACACTGACTGAGAAAGAACGGGGTCCTGCAAATTGGAATGGGGACATGTGGGAAAACCCTGATGCAGCTGGAGACAATGACTCTCTAAATTCTGATAATTCTTTGTCAATGAAGAAGCTTTCCCACCCTCAGTGGAAGTGGTCTCTCTGCCTTAGTCTGGGAAAATTAACCTTTGTTGCCTAAGGAAACTGTAATGCCCTCCCCTGAGGCTGTTGCCAGGCAAGAAAGGTGATTCTCAGGGCACCTGGGTGGCTCAGTGGGTTAAGCATCTGACTTCATTCAGCTCAGGTAATGATCTCAGGGTCCTGGGATCGAGCCCCACATCGAGCTCCCTGCTCAGCGGGTAGTCACTTGCTTCTCCCTCTGCCTCTTCCCCTCCCCCTCGCTCGTTCTTGCTCTCTCAATTAAAAGAAAGAAAAAAAAAAGCTGATTCTTTTCAGGACCCACAGCCCAAAGCCCTCTTTGCATCTAGACTTTCAACTACACTCAAGTCACAGCAGGCCACTAAAGGTGAGGTATAAAGTATGACTCATAAGGAGGTACACAACACCCAACACAACAAAAGAACTACCTGGTTTTTCTAATTTATAATGACAGAAATCCAGAGAACATGTGTGGGAATAAATATTAAGGGTATGGAACAATGGATGGTCAGGGACCTGGAAGGAATGGAAAACTGGTGCCAAGGAAATTAATGCTCACTAAAAGGTGACTCAAAAGAGGAAGATATTGGGGCGCCTGGGTGGCTCAGTTGGTTAAGCGACTGCCTTCGGCTCAGGTCATGATCCTGGAGTCCCGGGATCGAGTCCCGCATCGGGCTCCCTGCTCGGCGGGGAGTCTGCTTCTCCCTCTGACCCTCCTCCCTCTCATGCTCTCTGTCTCTCATTCTCTCTCTCTCTCTCAAATAAATAAATAAAATCTTTAAAAAAAAAAAAAAAGAGGAAGATATTAATAATCAAGTGGATAAGATGACTCCTTCTGTGGAGACCAGTCAGCCTCTCTCCCCAGCCACCCCTGTCATTGCCCAATGGGCTCATGAACAAAGTGGCCACGGTGGCAGAGATGGATGTTATGCATGGTCTCGTCACTATGAACTTACACACACCAAAGCCAACCTGGCTACAGCCATTACTGATTGTCCAATCTGCCAGCAGCAAAGAACAACCCTTAGTCTAAGCCAATATGGCATCATTCCCGAAAGTGATCAGTCAGCTACCTGGTCACAGTGGATTACATCAGACCACTTCCATCATGAAAGAAGCAACATTCTGTGGATGCCTGGGTGGCTCAGTGGGTTAAATGTCTACTTTCGGCTCAGGGTCCTGGGACTGAGTCCCACATCAGGCTCCCTGCTCATCAAGGAGCCTGCTTCTCCCTCTTCCTGCCGCTCCCCCTGCTTGTGCTCTCTCTCTCTGACAAATAAATAAATAAAATCTTTAAAAAAAAAAAAAAAGCAACATTTTGTTCTTACTGGAATAGACACTTTCTCTGACTTACAGATTTGTCTTCCCCACATGTAATGCTTCTGCCGTATCTACTATTTGTGGAGTTAGAGAATGCCTTATCTACCATCGTGGTATTCCACATAGCATTGCTTCTGATCAAGGAGCTCACTTCACAGCAAAAGACAGGCAGCAATGGTCCCATGCTCATGAAATTCATTGGTCTTACCATTTTCCCCACTATCCTGAAACAGCTAGTTTGAGAGAATGGTGAAATGGCCTTTTGAAGATTCATTACATTGCCAGTGAGGTGAGAGAACCTTGCTGGGCTGAGCAAGATTCTCCAGAAGGCTGTACATACTCAGAATCAGTGTCCAATGTCAGCTGTTTCCCCCTAGCCATAATCTACAGGTCTAAAAATAAAGGGGTAAAATGGGAGTGTCACCATTCACTATTACCCCTGGTGAACAAGGAGAGAATGTTCATTTTCTCACTATTCTTATTACATATAGTATTAGGAATCCTAGCAAGTACAAAAACAGTAAGAAAGGAAATAAAAGGCATACTGTCCAATGTGCAAATGACATGATGGTTTACATAATCAAATATCAAGGAACCTACCCCCAAAATTCCTAGAACTATTAAATGACTCTAGGAAACTCATAAGATATAATATCAACACATAAAACTTGATTATATCTCCATAAAATATCAGTAAACATGTGGCAACTGAAATTAAAAACACAACACTGTTTATAATCACTCTAAATAATTAAAACTTATGTATAAATCTAATAACAAATGTTTACAACTTACATGTTGAAAATTACAAAATGGTGATGAAGGACATCAAAGATCTAAATAAATGAGAGACCTACCATGTCATGGATTGAAAGACGCAATAAAGATGTCAATTTTCCCCATATTCATCTATAGGTTTAAATATAATTCTTATCAAAATTTCAGTATATTTTTTGCAGATATAATTTTACTCTAAAATTTATATGGAAGAGCAAACAACCTAGAATAGCTAATAGTTAAACAATTTTGAAAAAGAATAAAATGGGAAGAATCACTCTACTCGAGTTTAAGATATACTAGTACAGTAATCAATTGAGTGTGATATTAAAGAAGAGACAGACACAGATCCATGGAGCAAAACAGAGAACCCAAAACAAGGCCACCCAAACCCCCAAATATACCCAATTCATTTTTGACAAAGATGGAAGAAGTAATTCCATGGTGGAAAGATACTCTTTTTCACAAATGGCGCTGGCGCAAATAGACATTAACAGGTCCCAAAAAACCAACCAACAAAACACACAACTTGACTTAGATCTCCTACCTTATATAAAAACTAACTCAAAATGTATCATTAATTTAAGTGTAAAATCTAAAATTATAAAACTTTTAGAAGAAAACACAGAAGAAAATCTTCACAAACCAGGGTTAGGCAAAGGATGCATAGACATGACACTAAAAGCATAGCCCATAAAAGATAAAACTGATAAGTAGATTTCTTTAAAGATAAGTTTAATTCAGTTTGACACTTTGTTCTAAATATACTTTGCTATGCACTGCCACTTTATTTTCTAGTATTTCCAATTTAACTCCTTCATTAATTGTTCTAAGCTCACATGTACCAGGCACTCTTATTCCTGTAGTACCAATGAATTCCGAGAAGCTAAGTAGCTAGTTCACGGTAAGTACAAACACCTGAGTTCGAATCCAGACAATTCCATCTTTAGACCCTATCCATACTCTTTTTACATAATTGTGGTAGCTTTAAAATCCAGAAGACCTACGTAAACTCTTATATATTGCTTGAGGAAGTGGAAATTGGAACGACTATTTGGAAAATGTAATTTTCACATTATCGAGTAAGGTTGAAGATGCACAAAATCTATTTAGGAAACCCAGTGAGTCTATTTAGAAAGAAACTCACACACATTCCTTGTCCTCTCTCCTAAATCAATCATTACTCTGAGAGTGCTAGTCATTTCCAGCAGCATACAAGCATACACTGAAACCTTCTAGAGGATTGTCCATAGCTGTCTCTAATTCCTCTCTTCCCATTTTATAAGGAAGCTCTTCAGTATAGCTTTCATTTCCACCAATTCGTGAAAACAGCTCTTTGTGATGATCACCAATGACCTCCACGTCATCAAATCTAAAAGTAATTTCTCATTCCTTGTCTAACCTGAATCATTATCATAACTGAATGAATTATTCCCATTTTCTTCATTTGGTGTTCAGGATCTCTCTCTTGCTCTTGGTTCTCAGCCTATTTTACTAGAAATTCATTTTCAGCTTCTTTTGCTGGTTCCTCTTCATCTTCCTGACCCTAGAGCTGAGATGCCCCAGGGTTCAGTCTTCAGATCTCTTTTCTGTCTACACTGACATCCCTGGTGATCTCAATTAGGACCTTTGGTCCTTTAAATATTACGTCCATGCTAATGATTCCTAGAACTTTTATCTCTAACCCAAATGCTCTACCAAACTCCATACTGAACTTTTCTACCTTCCTGTTTAAGTGGCATCTCAGTTTAATATTTAATATGTCTAAAACCTAACTCTTGCTTTTCACTACCCATCACCACAACCTGCTTTCCCAGTTTTCTTAATACATAGCATCTAACTTAGAGTTTTTTAGGCCAAGAACCTTCAAATTTATCTTGATTTCTCCTCTAACATCCCATGTCTAATCCAACAGAAAATCATGTCATCTCTTCCTTCAAAACATAACCAGAATCTGTCATCATCCTCTTTGCTACCACCCTAATCCAATACATCATTGTCTCTCACATTTGTGAAGAGAAAGCAATGCTCTTAGCCATTTTCCATTTTTGAAGGTAAGGGCTAGTTACACCACCCCCTTGATAGAACATTAGCTCTAAAAGCAGGGACAAGATGAGGCAAATTGTAAGCTAAGAAACTGGCTGCTTTATCATATACATGGTTTAGGCTTTCATGAAAAGAGATAAAAGGTAGTAGGAGAGATTCTTGAGGTATCTTCATCATCCAGCCTCATAAAGCAGGGTAGGATAGCAGTGAGGGATTCAGAAAAATGGCTGCAGTCAAGATGGGCTGGGACATTACCTACAAAGCATCATGAAGACCACAAAGACTCTACATTGAACAAGTAAAGAGACTCATTATCTGGCATAGTTGGCATCTCAATATTTAGAAAATCCGAAAATCTTTCGGTTCAACAAAGCACACTTATTTTAGGAGTAAAATTCTTTTAGCCTGCAGACTTAAAAAAAAGTCTAGAACTCAAAATACCCAAAGAAAGTCTAGGGTAAATTCACTCTGGGGTGTTAACATGTTGAGCCTTTCAAAAAATATCCCTAATTAATGCCACAAAGATAGAATACTGGATTATTAGGCAGATCATTTTCCTAGCCTAGCATGACATTCTGATCAACAAACTATGATAAAGGCAATAGTCTCAACTCAAGAGACCTACAGTGTTAGTTTTACCATTAAATATATGATTTTGGATAAGAAAAGGCTTATGAATTCCTACAGTTATAAAATTACATGATTCTGTGATTTATTTACTGAGTACATACTACATCTCAGATACTGAAAGAGCTGTTATGAGGAATACAAAGAATTACAAATGGATTAAATACTCACATTCTTATTTTAGAATTGAAATGAATGGAAGATCACCTAAATATTCCTGTGCCTTCATGAGGCACAATGAAAATACCCTGAAAAAGCAAATTAAGTATGTACCTTTCAGTGCTGTAGTCTTTTCTTTTTCATCTGGACCTCCCTGTTGGATTTGTGCCATGCTTATCCAAATGGGCAACAAAATTAAAGAGCTCAAGGAAATAGACATCAATCTTCAGAAGACAGTCTAGAATGAATGAAAGCAATAAATTAAGCTCTACTCAATCCTACCTATCCCATGAGAACTTCCTAGATCCTCCCAGTTGGGATTAATCTCTCTCTTCTGACTTCCCACTGTACTTGGTTGATGCCTATACCACAGTACTTATCGTAGCCTGCCTTGCATTATAGTTATTTACATATTTGTCTGGGTCAGCTAACAGATTACAAGCCCCAGGATAGAGGTACCAAGCTTTTGTCACCTTTATATCTCTCGTGTCACCAAACACAATACCTTATACATACAGATACCTAAAGTCACTGCATTTAATTTAGCTAAATTTACTATGTAACTTTAGTTCTCTATCATCTAATGTTTTTTTAAAAATATCTGCAGGTAGTTTTAAAAGCCTGAAATTTCCTTTAAAATAAACTATAAGCATGTGCCAATTACAAGGTCAGAATGTCTTCCTTCCAGAACAGTCAGTCAGAAGGAGAAAAATACATATAAAGTAACTAAGTTACCTCTGGTGTAATTCAAAATACAACTTTAAGGGAGAAAATCAGCCCTTTAAAAAATGAAACTATGTCAAATTCAATGTCTGGAAGCCATTCTCTATAAATGGCACTCCAGTAAACAATCATAATATAAAATTATGATTCGTTAAAAATCTAATTCTGCTCTATTTTGGCCAAAGGGAAGGCATTTACACTATAAATAGATGGTTTATTCCCAAAACCATCAAAGACAAAAAAAAGACGGAAGACAAAAACAAAAAACAAAAAAAACCCCACTATCCCTAAAGTTTAAAAGACAAAAATGCAACACATACAATGGAAAAAATTAAACTAATTTAGTCAATCCACGACTGTTAATGAAATTATATAAAAACTACATTCATGACAACAATAAAACGAAACTGAACATTCCTCTGATTGAGGAACCCAATTTATTTGCTATCCACAAAGCAAACCTCAGCTTCCATTCAGAGGAATATTTTATAATTATCTTTAAAAACTGAGGCATTTTCATAATCAACAGAGTATAGCAGAAAATATTTTTAAAAAACCAATACTGAGGGGTGCCTGGGTGACTCAGTCAGTTAAGCGTCTGCCTTCGGCTCAGGTCATGATCCCAGCGTCTTAGGCTCTCTGCTCAGCATGAAGCCTGCTTCTCCCTCTCCCTCTGCCTGCCACTCTGCCTGCTTGTGCTCTATCTCTGTCAGATAGATAGATAGATAGATAAATAAATAAATAAATAAATACATACATACATACATAAATAAAATCTTTTAAAAAAAGTATAAATAACACTGAAAATATTTTTAAACTATGAATGTTCCAAAGAGTCATAAATCATATTGCCCCTATCTCAATTCTAACTGGAGGTATGGGGGGTGGTATAAGAGGAAAGACCTTCTGGCTTCACCATTAACTACATGTACCCTGGACAAATTATTTCACTTCTCTGTCCCTTATTTTCAAATATGAAAAATGGCAATGATAATCATGTTTCCCTCATACTGTTACAGTGAGGCTAAATGTAAAATATTTAGCATAGTACCTGATGTGTAATTAAGTGCTCAATGTATGCTGGCTTATATATTTTTTAATTGTTATAAATGTATCATGGCTTCACCATTTAATAATAGCTCTCTGGCCAGGGACAAAACAATATCCAAAATCTTCAGTTTCCTCATTTATCAGATGTAGCTCAAGAATTAGTGTTATAGAAGGTACGTATAGCTGATCATTGCTATTACTAGCAGTAACGCTGTTTGTCAACAGAGGTTTTCTAATAGGAATAACTAAAATATGAGAATATTTTTGACTGGGAAGGCATTCTCACTTAGCGGGGAAGAGGTTGCAATTTTTTTTCTATGAACAGGTAACTGAAAACTCTATAAATCTATAGGACTACAATGTGTCTACATTCCTTCAAGAAACTCTTGTAGTTTGTATGGTGGGTGATGTGTAAGATACCAGGGTGCAATGGTGAGTTAAAAGAGACACGGTCACGGCCCAGGTGGGGGCCTAACTCTCTAGCTACCAAAACAAACTGTCAAAATAGCTCCTTATAAAATATGTAAGACCTAGACTGATAATTGTATCACTGTCATAAAAAAGCATTATTTGTAAGGTTTATCTATTCATATGTAGGATATTAGTCTTATCTGTCAAGTCCCACAAGTTTGTGCACGGGTTTTACCAGCAACTCCCTATTATACACCATCCTATAGCAGAAACTGAAGAGAAATGTTCATAATGAGAGACCCCATGCACTGCTCTCTGTTAACAATTCCACAACTAAATTAACTATCTACAGGGACTTCTTGCATTGTTTACTATATCCCTCTGCCAACCCAGTATTTCTTCTAAAATATAAGCAGTTAGGTTATTTTTCATTGGCTCCAAATTGTCTGATTTCTAAACAGAACGATTTATACTATTATTTCATTGTGACTGTTTTAATGAGTGACATTATAAAATATTTTTGGTGCTAAAATAATTTTCAAGATTCACATTTTAAAGTTCTGGAGACCTAGTGTACAGCATAGTGACTGCAATTAACAATTCTGCATTGCATACTTGGAAACTGCTAAGAGAGTAGATCTCAAAAGTCCTTATCACACACACACACACAAAGATGGTTAACCACGTGAGGTGACGGATATGTTAATCAACCTTATCGTGGAATCATTTTGCAATATATACCTATATAAATCATTACATTGTACACCTTAGGCTTACACAGTATTAAATGTCAATTATATCTCAAAAAAAAAAAAACCTGGGAAAAAAGCTCTATAGCTTTTTTCTAAATACTGTACAATGTTTAATAACACATTCCCCCTTTAGATTTTGATCTCCCTGAGGACAGGTACCATGTCTGTCCCTAGCACATGTCTGGCATGTTTAGAACTCACTGGGTATTTGTTGAATTTAAAAATGAATGAGTAAAAGACAGAAGGGAAAAAAAGAAGATGCACATTTTAAAGAGTCATTTTGAAGATTCTCAAGATTCTCACAGCAATTAATAATCATATTCTTATTTTATATGAGATAACCAAAAAATACATGTCGTAATTTACTGAAGTGATGATATACAAGTTAAGAGACTACTAATTATTATCTGTGATCCTAAACATTCTAGCAGCAGATGCAAAGCAGGTAAGCATGAAGCAAAAGCAATTTGTCTGTTGCTCTTACTCACTGTTAGATTTTTACCCTCTCGAGTTATTTTCCATGGCTGTGGCACAGCTGGTGAAGCTAAATCAGGAGCATTATAAATTCTCAATTTAGTTTTCCTAATAAAAATTCAGAGTTATAACCTGCATGACCACAGATAAACACTACTGAAAATGCAGCCAGCAAGCCGTCTGATACATTTGATATATATTAATATGTGCACTCAACATAGTTTATTTAGTATTATCTGATGGAGGTTAGGTTATAGGGAATAAAGTGGTAGAAGGTTTTTACTGATGTGAATTGAGACACAGTTGACATGTTGTATACTTCATGATAACCAGTGCTGTTTAAATATGGTTTCCTAGAAATGGTTATAGTATAAACTAGATTCAAAACATCTCAGTTTGCAATTTCATTCTGTGAACTACACAAAGCAATTATCATATCTTCTTTCCTCCTATGATTCCAACAGAGAATCCACCATGTATAAATAAAGCTATAAATAACTTGTCATCTGTAATCTTTATCCAGTCAGCATTTCAAAACATGAAACAGTAGAATATTTCTTAGTTGCCCTGTTTGCTCAAAATATGGCATGAGCACTTATAATATGTATAGGAAAATACACAGACGCCTAAGTTTTCTACGTCTCTTTGTTTTTAGGTAGGTATTAAATAGGAACTAGATATAGATGATTTTGTAATAGAAGGCCTTTCCACCTCACATTCTGAATACAATGATGAAAGTATAACATATATCACAAGACAAGTAAAACTACGTTAATTCCCTACGACCTTTGGAGCTCAAAGAATCTATGCTTACTAAGTCAGGCTCTGGAAATCCAGCAAATAGCAGCCAACTTGTGGAAGAAAGTACAGTGAGTGAATTGGTACAGAGAGTTTCGAGAAACCAAAAGATCTACTCAAATTACAGTCAAAATATCCCTATTACTCAGAAGTATCCTGAGCTTTGAAAAGCTAAATAACCTGGCTCAGGCATCCCAGACGGTAAGGGGATTCTAACTCCGGTCTTCTAACCCCTACTTAGAAGCTCTTATGAGCTCCCTCTACCTGCATGGTGGAGTCAAATTACTTAAACTATTCCAGTTTCAATTTACAGTTTATGCTATAGAAAGTTTTCATTTTTGTGTACTAATTTATATTATCAGGAAGTATTACAATTTGGAGTCTGAGCAAGTTGGACGTAGTTAATTATATAGAGATGAAACATGTCGACCAAAATTGTCTCCGTCTATTTGGTTTGCTGTTCAGAGTTAAGATTGATAAAAATTACTCCTCATCATTCCTCACAATACTTTGGTAAATCAAATGTCTAAGAGAAAGAGTCAAAAGTTAAGGAATGCCAAATACAAAGATTTTAGAAGAAACTGATAATGCACTACTGTGCCTTTTTAACAGGTTCCAAAACTGGAAGTCACCTGGGTAATTTTCACATTGCTTTGTGCCCAGCAAAAAGACAAGCTCGACAAGGCTAGAATGAAATCCTTAGAATATCTTCAAAACAATGCTAAAACTCAAACTAAGAAATTAAACAAGGACTAAGATAATTCTTGATTTTGAAGCCCCTAAAAAGAAAAAAGGGAATTTAAGCAGTCTTTTATGAAGTTTTCATAATATGGAGCAGAAATAGCAGAGCTATGGCTGAGGACAAAATAATTCTCAAAAAGATATGCTCAAAACTTTGGAAAAACAGAGTATCTCGAACAAATAGCCTCTTTTATATGGGTCAAGTATAAATGTCACATAAGCTACTTCAGAGACTTTGAATTCTATGGTAAACATAAACAATAAAACATAAACAATATTATTAATATAC